AATCCTTGAAAATCCGTCGCGCACCCGCTTGATTAAGCCTTGCTGGGCTAACGATGAACAATGCGTTCATTGCCGCAAAAGGTTGCGCTTCTCGACTGTTCCTTCTAATCTAAGCCGAAAATGTCCTGCTGCTTCCGAAATCTCACTTGACGTACTTGATGCTTGGCATTCTGAGTTTGATTCGATGATCGAAGTCATCACGGATATTATTTCGAAAAGCTGATCTCCAACACGGAAACGGCTTGAAAATCACAGATACGGCACAAGTCCTTTAGTTTCGTTTGCCCGAACAGACTCCGATCACACCCCAAAACCCTATTCTAGTTATTAAGGCCCCTATATTCGCCGTAAGCAGGACTTACATTCAGGGCAGGCCGGGTCTTACCCTAAGCCCTAAGCCCAAAACCCTAAACCCTGAACCCTTAAGCTTCACTCAGGAGCTCGCAGAGTTTCTGAATGGCTGGGGCGACAAGCTTCGCATGGTCATCAGCTTCTACAGCTCCTCGCCATTCCTGGGTCCTTGTTGGATACAATTTTACATTTTGGGTATAATAGAACCCTAATAAGGACTAAAAATTGATCATTTTTAATATAGCGCCAACAAGGAGCCAGATTCCACTGTTGGCAACCATCCGGGGGTTTAGGGTTCCGGTGCAAATTACACCCGATGTCCTAGGGTGCAAATTTTCCCTAAACCCTCGAGCCCCCAAAGCCCTAAAAGCCGTAAAGCCCTAAAGCCCGAAAAGCCCTAAAACCCTAAAACCCTAAACCCTAAAACCCTATAAAACCCTAAATCCGAAAACCCTAAACCCTTAAGCTCTAAACCCTTAAGCCCTGCTCGCAGCGGCCGGAAAATCCTGAACCCAAAATCCTAAATCCAAAGATCCTAAGTCCTAAACCCAAAATCCCAAATCCAAAACTCAAAAACCAAAATCCTACACCTAAAATCCAAAATTCTAAACCCAAGACCCAAAATCCAAATTCCTAAACCCAAAACCCAAAAACCCAAACCGGCAACGGGACCCCCAAGCCCAAAGCTTGATACTTCGACCTTTATATTCTCGAGACCACTGCCGGCACCGGCAGCTTCAGGCCGAAAGCTTGATACGTCGACGCTGAGACTCAAATTCCAGCTCTTAGGGTTTAGGGTTTAGGGTTGTTCTTTCCTGAGTGGAGGCTGTGTCTGCTGCAGTTCTTGGTAGGCGAGACGCCCAGCCTTCCCCACATGGGTTCTCCCATATGCAGCGTGTTACTGTTGTCGATGTTTTGCACTTTCATGCCCAACACCCTGCTTGAAAAATCAGGACGGCATCGATGTCGCATGCGTGCGCAGATGTCGCGCGAAAATTTGATCGCACCAAAAAGTTCACAGGGATTGTCCACGGCGGTTGATCGGATGGCTGGTAGCACTGTGGTTCCAGATCTCCTTCTCTATACACAACCTCCCAAATGTGTGCTATCAAGCATCTGCATCCTTCGCCTGCAATTTAATTTCCGCGCGATGTAAAGTCGGGCGGGCAGCAAGCAGCCGCGCGCCAGGCTTGGCAAACCCTTAAACCCTAAACCCTTAAACCCTAAACCCTTAAAGCCTAAACCCCTAAACCCTAAACCCTAAAACCCTACACCCTAAAACCCTAAATCCTCAAACCCTCAAACCCTAAACCCGTAAACCCTGAACCCTAAAACCTTAAACCCTAAAACCCTAAACCCTAAATCCCTAAACCCTAAAAGCTTAAGCCCTCAAACCCTAAACCTTCAAACCTTAAACCCCAAACCCTCAAACCCGTTACGGTTGGGAACTCCGATTTCCGCTATTTTGTGAGCTCAGTCACAAAATAGCGGAAATCGAAGCTCCGGATCCAAACCCCTGAGAAGATCAAATGGTTTAGGGTTTATGGGTTTCAGGGTTAGGGTTTGGGGCTTAGGGTTTAAGGTTTCGGGTTTAGGGCTTAGGGTATAGGGTTCCTTCACGGGACAGCCCCCAAAAGACCCTTCAAAAAAGCACGAAAGGACCATAACACCCGAACGGTGGAAACTCCCAAACCCTAAACCTCGAGCCTGCACCCAGATCTTCCCGAAACATGTCTTCTTTATACCTGGAACTCCAAGCCAAAGTTTTCGGAGGCCCTCCAGTCCGCACAATTCTGTTGGTAAGGGTCCTAAAAGCTAACATAGGAGCTTCAATGGTTTGTAGCAGCGCTATGAGAAGCCTAGTCCCAGCCTGGGTGAACTGGATCTTACATTGGTCAGGATTGAGACAACTAAAACCAAACCTTAAACCCGACCAACCGAACTTGAGCCTAAACAATTGAGCTCCTGGGAGAAAACCAAGAGAAGGCTCAAGAAATCACGGAGTCCTGGGCCCTGCTGTTGAACAGCTTGGGTGGACTTAAAGTAGAAGCATTTGATACCCACGCTTGTGTGCAAGTTTGCTTAGTTATACTCGTACGTACTCACGACCCTGCAAGAGCTCCTGCAAGAGCTGTTTAGAGTTTAAAGGCTCTAGCTCAGCTCCTGAATCAAAGGCGACGCACACCGTTGGGGTTCCCGCGACCACCGCTGGTTCTTCACGCAGAGCGCGTGCCGTTGAGGGTTTGGAAGGTGTGTAGGTGTGTGGTTCAAGCTTCAGGCGTGGGGCGTGGAGCCTAGGCTTAGTGGTTTTTTTCTTGTTGGAGGGTTGAGAGCAGGCTCTAGTACCCTATTATGACCTACTATATAGGGCCCTAGGGGCTCTAGTACCCTATAAAGTAGGTACCTGGAGGGTTGAGAGCAGGGTCAGTCCGTGGGCAAGTACCTGGCCCGGGAAGCTGCTGGCCTTGATATTCACAGTGCCCATGGTGGCATGCTCTAGAACCATATAGAACCTAAACATAATTACCAATATTATTCTTAATGCTCCTTGTAAGATTTGATTATAAAGGAATCCAAAACCCTATTCTAATTATTAAGGCCCCTACATTACTGCCACTTCAACTCGCCATCCTGCGCTCGACATGGATGACTTGTTTAAGGACATGCCTCTGGTTTCCAGCTCTGAACAGTTTGCCCCCCTGTCTTCCGTGTTGTGCGCCATTTCACAAGTCAGCAAACAAGCTGGTGCAAGATTCCCTCCATCCACCGTAGCTTAGCCTAGAACCTAGAGGGGGAAGGACATGTTTCCGGACAGGGTTGCGAGTTCTTGCTTTCGAAGCGTCAGCAGGAGATTTCGGAGGAGGTGTTACCAAAAAATGGTCTGGAATGTACCCCTCACTCCCCGAAGGAAAAGAAGCGAACTCTCCAATCGACGTGTTCCACTACTGTAAACTTTGCCCTACATACTATACTATAGCCTCGACTTCACCCAATCTCCAATCCACGGTTTTTTCAACTTGACTCAAGACACCCTAAACCCTAAACCCAGAGCCTCCAGCTGAAGCCAACTCGAGAGCCGGCAAAGAAGGTACACCGAGTGGAAAGATTCGTGCCGACAGGCGTGTAGCTCACGGAGCGTTGCCTTGAAGACCCATTTAATGTCGGGTTCTGCAGCACTGCAGTCTTACAGCGTTTCCAGCATGCACAGCTTCCAGGAAATTCTAACTGATACTAGTAGCAGGTTCAAGATCAGCAAGTCGCCTAAAGATTTCTGTGCCTGGAGCTGCGGGCTGCGGTAGAGGATCTGGGGACACACTAAAGCCCAAAAAACCCTGAACCCATAAACCCCAAAAGCCCATAAGCCTTAAAACTATCTACTCTCAAAGCCCTAAACCCCTAAACTGTAAAACCGGTGGCTTCCAGCACTCAAAACCTTTCTGAGTTAGGATCCCCGAAAACATGCCAATAAGCATAGACAGCTAGAGCCGCCATAAACCCTAAACCATAAACCCCTAAACCCTGAACCTTGCACCCATAAACACCTAACGCCCCAAAGCTAGAAAACCCCAAACCCTCCGGTAGGCCCGTCCCTTGGAAGTATATACTGCGCATGCGCCACCTCATTCGTTCCTAGTCTCCCCAGGCGAGAGCTTCTCGACCCCTTTGCAGAGACAAAAAGCGCGACATCAAGAACATGCTTCGATCAGCTGTTGCACCCTGGTCGGGTCCGTCCCTCTGCAGGGGCACTTCAAGATTCCCACCAAACCCGGCGCAAGCCACTGGCCTGTGGGTCGGCTCCGCCTGTCGTGCTTTGTGGTCAGCAATACGCTCAAGCGAGAGCTCAATATCTTGTCACAGAGCTGAGACGTTGAAGTTCCAGGTTCGAACAATCCTGTTGAACTCAACGTCTGGTGCATTGTGCGGGGTGTAGGGTTTAGGGCTTTAGGGTTGTGATGAAGTGTCTAGGATTGCGGGAAGGAGTATGGTATGACGTAGGTTTTGCTTGCGGGTTTAAGGTTTACCAGGGATTTAAGGGTTTTGGGTGTAGTGTGTTGCTCATCATTCTAGGCTCACTGTAGGGGGCATGGACAGATGTTAGGGTTCTGGTTTGGGGGTTTTGCGGGCACCAGCAGTTCGGATTTGGAAGGGCTTCTTTCCTATGTGCTGCTTGTAGGGGAACCCAAAGTCGCCTAAGAAGCTGTGTCTTATCTTCGTAGCAACCCTAAACTCTAAACCCCAAACCCAGAAGTTTGAGGGAGACTCCCGGATTCCCCGCCCTAAGCCATGGAAACCCGGGGATCCTCCCCCCCCCCAAGAGGAGCACAGAGGCAGAGACATGAAGCCCAGATTTTTCGGGGATCGGAATAATTCGAAGTAATCTCCCCTTATAGCCCCAAACAAAGTTCTACTGTAGGTACCAGAAACCTACTCCAATTAGGGCCCCCAGAATTGCCCCTACCCAAAGGGTCCTAGGTACTGTTATGGGGGATACTTTCCCACATCAGAATAACAATTCCTAATATGGAGACCCTACATCCTACTATATGGGTACTTTGGACCCTTTGGGCTAATATTCAGCCGTTCTGCTCAACCGCCCTGGTTGAAGGAAGGCGCCTCGAGTTACAGCAACCTCCAGCTCATCGAGGCTTCAGCTTGCATTAGGTTCCTTTAAGGGTTCCCTTCAGGGGTCCTTTGAAGGGCTCTATAACAGTTACTACAAGCGGGTCCACGATACAAGGAACTTCATAGTTCCGTGGCCGCAGTAGAATTGGCGATGAGGGGTATCAATTCTAGTGTAACTATATAGGAGTAACTGTCAAAATCGTGGTCCCATCTACTTCTACCCTTAACAGGGCACTGTTACAGTTAGGGAACCCAAAAAGAGGCCCTAATATGGACATTCAGCCATACGAAGGAGCCCTAACGACTATATAACATCGGTGATGATTCAGAACCCTAAACCCTAAACCCCAAACCCTAAACCCTAAACCCTACCCTCACTTGAGCCAGGATCTGGCCTCCGGGTTCTAGGATCTGGGACACAGGGTTGTGCTTCAGGGGGGCGGGGTCTGGGTACTCATCGGCAGCTTGATTTCGGAGTTGGGGCCGTTGGTTCAGGATTTTTGGTTTCGGGTTTCGGGACTTGAAAGTTGTCAAGGCCCCTAGAATGAGGCCTCGGGCTTGCATGATTGAAAGCATTCTCGGTGATGGGGTGGTAGTCTTCGGAGTTTCAAGGGTCACAACGTTTTCAGATGTCGAGCCCGGTCTTCTGGTTCCGCCTTCAGCTATATTGTAAGATTTGTGCTGTTGAAGAAGTCGCTGCTGTTGTATCGTAGCAAAGATGGCGTTGCGAGTTGTTGTACTGATGCTGTTCTTAGACGGAGCATGCGACTTTATTATTACGTATTCGCTTGGACTTCTGTTCGATGTTGATGCTGTTAATGTCGTTATGAAGCAATGAACAACAACAACAACTACTACTACTACTACTACTGCGACTGCGACGACTTTTTACTTCTTCGACGACGTCGACGACGAGGCCGGCCAGCTACTTCTGCTACCCCTGGGCTTAGCCAGCCACAAACAAATCCGGTGTTCCCTAATCCTCCAGGTACCTATTATATAGGGTACTGGAGGTCTTAGGGCCCTATATAGCAGGTACCTGGGGGGTTAGGGGTTTCTCTCCATGACTCCTTCTCCAAATTCCTTTTAGGTCCCCACCAGCACCCTTATGAAAAGGACCCCCTAACAGACCCTGATGGAGAGAACTACCTCCCATCCAGTCCCTGCGACTCCTCTTCGAGCAAGCCAAGACCAGCCAAATCCTCCGGAGCCTTGGCGAGATTTTTGGTACTAAAGCCTCGTTTAGGGTTTAGGGTTGAGTCTTAGGTTGGCACTTAAGCTCTTTACAAGGGTCCCGTGTGTTTTTCCCCTAGACCTCACCAGTTTGGTGGTGGAGACTGATGAAGAGGGATGGAGCCAGCATCAGATGGTCCGGCTTAGAACAGCTGTTGATTTCCCTCGGTGTTGTATTTGTTTTGCTTACCCTGGGAAGCCAAAGCAGCTTAGATGAACGGATGCTCCAGCTTAGATTCTCAAGAGCTGGAAATCCCTAGCTTTAGGTTGAAGGCTCTGCCTTACTTTAGATTCCGGGTCCAAAGTTTGGGATTTCAGGTGACAGATACACCCTTTCAAGGGTGCCGAAGTAGCGCTTTTCGATTCAAGCAAAACAGCATAGTTCGCACTGCGTCGCTGCGCAACTGAAACCTGCGGATGCTCTCTTTGCCAAATTGTCATGATCAATTTCCCCACTTAGCAAAGACTTAACAGTCCTGTCTGGCAATGCTGTCTGATTGAAGATTCGCGGTGTTCCCGCTGTACTACACGCGCGGGAAAGGAAGGCGAGCAACGTTGCAAGGCGAGTGGTAGATCACTGATCGACGAAGTCCAGACGTTCCAGAATCAATTAGTAGGGAATAATATAGAGGCCTTAGTAATTCCCAATACTGTTTTGGGGGATCCCTCATTATAATGATATTATAATATACCCCAAAACGCTATTTTCAGTACGAAGGCCCTTTATTACACCTCAAATCATGTCAGGGGTCTTACTCTAACTTGAGGCATATTCCTCAGTTAAGGAATATTGGAAGGTCGGGGTGCTTTGAGGGTTGAGCAGCAGAGGCCAGGAAGAGCCCTTTACTGTAGCCCTCCAAGAAGAGCCCTTTGCTGTAGCCCTCCAAGAAGATTGGGGTTGAGGGTTTAGGGGAAGAGCTAAAGTAGGAGCCTGATAAAGAAACCCTGGCCCCCTTTCCAACCCCCAAATAGTAGGATTCAGATAAAGAGCCCCTGATAAAGACCCAGAGTTTCTCAAATCAGAGGTTCCTACATCACTCTTCACATATTGCAAAGCCTCGGAAGCTTTTCTTATCGCCCTACCTGCAAAGCCACGGTGGCATTTCGAAAGCCAGTTCTTGACTCACGACTGTAGGCTCTCATACTAAACCCTAAACCCCGCAAACCCCCTAAACCCCTTCAACTCCCTAGCCGTCACAGCTGTGGAAAGTCGTCAGAGGAACCCCCAAGAGCCTTACCAAGCCCCATAGAATTTGCCGTAGCTGGAGTCCAGACCCAATAGCAGCTGGTTTAGGGTTTAGGCGATGTAGGGTTTAGGCAGTTTAGGGTTTAGGGTTTAGGCAGTGTAGGGTTTAGGTGGTTTAGGCGGTTTAGGGTTTAGGGTTTAGGCTTAAGAGGACAACAGATAATTCGATAGGCCCTCAGCCATGTAGAATGAAAGCCCCGACTCACTCTGCAGGAACCCCGTCAACCCTCTTAAACCCCAAATCGGTCAGAACATATCCGATCCCTCAACCCTAAACCCCAAAAGAGTGTTTTTCGAGCAAGGCAGACCCTGGTAGGCGCACAACTGTACGGCCCACGTGTCTGGGCGCAGGGTTTTACGGTCAGGGCTGTGTTAGGGGCTTCGGGGCGATAGGGGTTTCGGTTAGGGTTTAGGGGTACGGGTTTAGGGGGTATAGGGGTTTAGGTTTAGGGTTAAATTAGGGGTTTAGGGGCCTTTGAGGGTTGATCTGGGCTGTAGAGTCTAGCATGTTGCCGTCCTCTGAACCCCTCTGTCGCCAAGCGGAGTCCGACGACCCTGAGAACCCGAAACCCCTAAACCCTAGAGCCCTGCGTACCCGAAACGACATGATAGTGACACCCTCAAACTCTCGCGGGGTAGGTGTGCCATTTCTTCTTCGAATTCGCATGTAGCTGCACATGTTTAGTTTGCTTGACAAGTATTGCACGGACACACATATTATGATAATAGATAGTTTATCTTATATTTTTATATCGTTTATGTAGATAAGTAGATATATATATATATATGTTACATTATATATATATATTATGTATGTATGTATGTATGTATGTATGCATGCATGCATGGAGGTAGGTAGGTAGGTAGGTAGGTAGGTCGGTCGGTAGGTAGGTAGGTAGGTGGGTGGGTGGGTAGGTAGGTAGGTAGGTAGGTAAGGTAGGTAAGTAGGTAGGTAGGTAGGTAGGTAGGTAGGGTAGGTAGGTAGGTAGGTAGGTAGGTAAGGTAGGTAAGTGGGTAGGTAGGTAGGTAGGTAGGTAGGTAGGTAGGTAGGTAGGTAGGTAGGTAGGTAGGTAGGTATATATGTATATTATTTATTTGTTTATTTATTTATTTATTTATCTTTTATCTTATTACTACTTTTATCATTACTATCATTGTTATTAGTATTATTATCATTATTATTATTATTACCGCACTGAAGCCATGTCGTGCTGTCAGGGCTGTCACCTGCGATCTGTTGGGTTTGTTCAGGTTCTGTTTGCGGTCTCTTGCGTGCTTTGAGATGTGTCGTTCTCAGTCGTTTGGGTTCCACAGACTCCGGACAATGACGGTAACAAATGTGTGCCCTTTCGCAAAGACTGAAGGCAGCCAATGGGGATCTGGGATTCAACGGTTTTGGGGCAGACATCTGAAGCTTTAATCTTAACCTGGCCCCAAATTCGACGATTGCAGGGTGCTGAGGATGACAAAGGGGGGTAGGCTGCATGCTTGCATCTGTAAAAGCCTGATTCCCAAACCCCTTGTAAGTTGTCTTGCAAAGCAGCTGCGGCTATGCAATAATAGCAGTGCTGTATAGTTAGCCAGCAGTACCGTACCTGTTATCATCAGCATGCTGGTCGTTGCTAGGCAAGCCTTTTTGGTCCCAAACTGTCGAGGTTTTGGCATCGAGGAGCCACACTTGATCATCACCTCTGACAGTTTGACGCAGTACACGGACCCGCATCTCGGCAAGCATAGCTTCGGTCCTCTCGGGGCATCGAGGACGACATGGCCAGTGTTGTGTTTGCGGTTGAAGCTTCAGAACGGGTTTCTCTAAACTCTCAATCTTAAACTCTCAATCCTATACTGACTTCTAGTCAGAGCTGATCAAGCCTGGGTCAAGTGTTCTTTGCGACATACGGGGCCTGGGGGCCGCATCCAGTTCTGTCCTTTGCTGAAGCTGGCATCTAGTGGCTGTGAGGCGGCTTGTATGCAGTGGGACGTTCTCGCATGTGCATGGATGTGCTCGAGCTGTTTGTTTCACCAAAAAGCCATCAACTGCATCAACTGATGACAGCCATGGCAAAGCCGATACCAATGTCGAGGATCATGCTCATGATGATGTCTTCGTCATCATCATTATCATCAGCAACATCCTCATCATCATCATCATCATGGCGGGGTGGTGTTGATTCTGATGGTGATCATGGTGGCGAAGATGATGAGAGTGGTTGTGTCAACGGCATGCAAGTGTTCATCATCGTTTTTGTCGCCAAGCCCTTAAAATGTCATCATTGTGCTCATCATGGGCAATCCACAATGACCGCCATGCCAAACCAGGGAAACTGGCTTTGAAGCGCATCTGACGAACTGGACCAACGATGTCTATGACTATTTCTTCGAGTCTTGGCAGTGCTAGGCTTTTAGCGTTTTGGGTTTGGGCCTTGGGCTCAGGGTTTGGGTGTCGCGTTTATGTTTCAGGGTTGAGGGTGAGGAGTATCCCAGCTCCAACCGTGCTGTGCAGGGCAGTGTCAGGCTTCTGCTGTGAAGTTCATTTGCACAGCATAACAATAAAGCCATGCTGCGCAACATGCAGTCAAAGAGGCACGACAGAAACGACCGAACTTCAGGTCTGTGTTCTTATAGTCTGACTGTCATACCAAGCCGTGAGTACGTGATATCCTCCGCTGTGCCGCATTGTGCCGCTTAAAGGCACGGCAATCAACATCCAAATCCGACCCGTTGCACACGCGCTTCGACTGGGCTTCTAGGGATTGCACTCACCATCTTGCCGTCCGCAATGTTACCTGTAGGGATCTATAAGGGTTTCTATAAGGGTACCATAAGGGTTCTACTCCATAGTAGTTCCCCTTTGAGGTTTAACTTATTCTATATTTAGGATCCTACAAAGTAACCCAAAAAAGGGAACTGCCATGGAGACTACAGTTACATTGACGAGGTTGCTGTTGAGGTTGCACAACAGCCCAACCATGGCAACTTCACGACCAAACCAGCCCCAAAGTCCTAAACTGCAGCCCTCGAGCCCCTTCTATCTCTGAACCTCCGGAACTGAACCCTATAAAGCCTTTGAGGCCTAACCTCGGAACTCCAAGATAAGGACGAGGAAGCTGGTCTTCTACGGGAGCTTTCCACCAAAAGGTTGAATGAAGAGCTGTTACTGGGCGCGGCTGAGGGTTTTGAGGGAATCTTAAGGCTGAGGTTGTACCATTGTGCTTGTTGCTGTAGTATGTCGTCATGACTGTGTGCCTTGAACTGTTCTTGCGTTTGTGTCGCTACTTCAAGTCGCTGCTCAAATGAGAAGCACACCTTTCAGATATTGACAACCACGGAAAGCAAGCTGGGCATAGCCAACCGTTGACACGGAACCAGAAAAGACCACCAAGAAAGACGGTGCGATTGAAATGCGCAGCATGCAGACTTAAGTCCGGACATGCTTTGACTCCGTCAATCGCAAACCTCCACTCATACCCAATTAAATCATTTGCACGTCTACCTCACGTGCACACGGCCTTGCTTGAGCTCACACGGTTGCTGGGCGCGTCGGCTGCGGGGCGGCCGATGGTCATTCTTTGTTGCGGCAGACATGGTGGGAGCAGCAGCGGAATAGGAGTAGGTGCTTTTTGCAGCAGGCAGGTGCAGGAGCAGGAGTGACGGGCGACCAAAGCAGCGATGGCATGAAGAGCAGCAGTGCAGAATGCTGGCATTCATGACAAGAACAGCAGAATCCTGGTCTCCCGGACTGCGACCTCAGGACGGCCCCAGGGAGCTGAAATCTTGAAGCCCCCGAAGCAGCAGGGGAGGAGAAGGTTCGCTTTGGTTGGGAATGTGAGTTGCTGACGTTCGTGCTCGGTGGCACATCGGAGAGGGAGCATTGCAGTTGACCCAATGTCAGCTTATCATGATGTTGGCTGTTGACTGTCCGACATGGGGTGCGTCGGTTGATGGGATTCTGAGCTGTTGCAAAAAGGAACACATGATGCTCGCAGGCATTCCGAAACTTTGGATATCCGGGGTGGGGCCGTGGCAGCAGATGCTGATGATGCTTGGTGATTGGTGATCCTTTGCTGCAAGACAGGAGCCGTGCAATTGATGCTGGTGATGTGCGTTGGCATGATGCTTCTTGACTCGGACCTTCGTATGACGAGCATTGCAGCTGATGCTGGTGATGTTTGCTGGCAGTCGGATGCTCGACACTGGCCGACGCAGCTGATGCTGGTGATGTTTGCTGGCGGCCGGATGCCCAACAAGACCTGCGCAGCTGATGCTGATGATGCTCGCTGGGCGTGCGGGTATGTCCGATGCCTGACAAGAGATGCGGCAACTGATGCTGATGATGCTTTGCTGCTCTTGATTCTAGGCTGCCGATGATGTGCTTGCCTGCGAGCATGTCCGATCAGACATGTAGCTGATGCTGTCTGATGCGAGGCTTTGCCAAACGAGTGTATGCCGGTAATGTTTGCTGGCAGCGCGATTCCCGACAAGAGCCGACTGATGCTGATGATGCTCGCTGGGCGTGCAGGTACGTCCGATGCCTGAAAAGAGATGCGGCAACTGATGCTGATGATGCTTTCTGATTCGGTGCTTCTCCAGACGAGCACTGATGCAGCTGACGGTTGCTGGTAGTGAGCCCAACAAAGACCGTCGCAGTTAATGCTGATGATGCTCCCTGGGCCCCAGCCTGCGCTTGTTTGCGATGCTCGACAACAACCTTTGCAGCTTATGTTGATGATTGCTTGCAAAACAAGCGTTGCCGCTCATGCAGTGATGTTTGTTGACAGCCGGCTGCCCGACAAGAGCCGTGGCAGCTGATGCTGATAATGCTGTCTTGCCCGTGGTTATGTCCGATGCCGGCCAGAGCTGCGGCAGCTGATGCTGATGAATTAAGAGTCGCTGCTACGAGAATCGAGCATTTGCACATTTTGCCAGTGATGTTGTCGAAGGCTCAACGCAGGTAACGTCGAGGTTTGCTTGCAGGCGGGTTAGTGTGGATTCCTGCCTCGAGGTACGGCAGATGATGCTGATGATGCTTCCTGATTCGGCTTCCCGAAACGAGAACTGCAAGTGATGCTGGTGATGTTCGTCGGCAGCCGAATGCCTGACCAGGGCTGTGGCAGCTGACGCTGATGATGCTCGCTCGCGCACGTGTATTTCCCAAGCGCTCGGTCGCTTTGATGCTGATGATGTTTCCTGGCCTTTGGGAATGAACCGGCGATCACTGGGCCAGGGCGCACTTCTTTTGGCTCTTAGGGCCTGCCGACTTTCAATTTGCAAGAGGGGGTCACCACTACCCGGAGTTTTTCGCTTAGAGGGCCCAAAGGTGCTTAGGATCATGCAGTGGGCTGCGGGTTGTTGCCATGACGCCGGACCGAGGTACTCCAATGTATGAAACTCAACTTCCCGCCCTTGTCCGGTAATTTCCGGGCAAAGCCTAAACCCCAAACCCGATCCTGGGACTCTGATGCATTCTGGCTGAACCCATGATTCTTCAAAAGGGCATCCTCAAACCCCCGAAACCCAAACATCTCAGTGGACAGGCCAAGGGTCAAGGGTCATGAGCAACGTTGAAGGGCTCAATGCCCTACCTGGAGGTTCATGGGTAGTTATAAGTGGAGTTATAAGTTCCCTACTATGGATTATAATCACAGTTACCCTACTTATAACCTCACTTATAACTACCCATGAAACTCCAAGTACCCTGAACCTGAAAAGGTCTCCCTGAGACTCCACAATCAGGATCCTACGACTAGTCGGGTTGATGATAGGTGGCCCTCATTTGCTGAACCCGCCCCCCCCCCCTCCAAAAAACAAAAAATAAATAATAATAAATCAAGTGCTAAACCCCTTGCAAGCCCCAAAGCCCCCGTACGCCCCAGGTAAGCCCGTAACCCCCCAAAACAACCCAAACCCCAGGCCCCTAAGCCCCAAGCCCTCAAGACTTCTTGAGCTCTAAACCCTTCAAACCCAAAGCCCACGTAAAGCCCTGAGCCATCCTAAACCCCTACCTAAGCCCTAAACCCCTACCTAAACCCCTAAACCCAAAACCCAAAACCCCTAAACCCCTAAACCCCTAAACCCTAAACCCCTAAACCCTAAACCCCTAGACCCTAAACCCCTAAACCCTAAACCCCTGGTTTTTGAGCCCAAAAACCAGGTTTCAGATCGCCCACATCGATGCCCAACTGCAGTGGCTCCTTGGGCCAAGGATCTCGAAGGGTGTACCGATGCACTGCTTTGGGGGGGGATGAGGGTTTCGGGCTTTGGGGTTTTTGGGGGTTTGGTTTGGGGTTTTTGGGGTTTGGGAATTCAGGGTTTCGGTTTTAGGGGTTTGCGGTTTAGGGGCTTAGGGGTTTGGGATTAGGGTTGCGGGAAGGGGGAGGGGTGCCTTAGTGCTGCGCTTTGGGTTGGGATGTTTCCAATCCTACAGGAGCTGCGAAACAATCCAAAAATTGAGAACAAACCGAAACCCTAAGCCATTTCCTGTAGTTCGCGAGACTTGCCTTGTGGGCTTTGGCTTCTCAAGTCAAGGGGGCTCGTGCCGGCTTCCCACCTGCATCCTACCCAAAACATCCCAAAAGCTACCATGGTTCAGGGCTTAAGGTTATATCTTGCCCCCAAAAAAAACGTACTACAAGCCACCATGCTTTTGCAGGGACCCTAAACCCAACTCAGCCCTAAACCCTAAACCCCCTAAGCCCTAAACCCAACTCAGCCAAAGAGGTTGCAGACCTGTGCCGACCAGCCGGAGCTCCTGGCAAAGATTAGCATCCTGGCTGAGGGAAACTTTAGGGTTGGGGGTTCAGGGTGTAGGGTTTTGGGTTTAGGGTTTTAGGGTTGAGGGTTCAGGGTGTAGGGTTTTGGGTTTAGGGTTTGGAGCTTAGGGTTTAGGGTTCAGGGTTTAGGGTTTTAGGGTTTAGGGTTTGGGGCTTAGGGTTTAGGGTTGAGGGTTTAGGGTTTAGGGGAGTTCGTGTCGGGATGGGTTTGGGGGTTGGATTGAGCTCTGCAGCTGATCGGTGCAGCAGCGCCGAGGCCCGACTTGCAAGCCTCCTCAGCTGTCCCCGGGCCTCCTTTTTACTCATCTATCCCACTTGGAGGTTCATGGCTAGTTATAAGTGGGGTTATAAGTAGGGTAACTATAGTTATAACCCATATTAGGGGACTTATAACCCCACTTATAACTACCCATGAACCTCCAAGCAGGCATCGACAAGATCGTGGAGGCAAGGCATGCTGTGGGTCTTGAGTACGAAGCCGGGACCACTAGCTCCTTGAGGTCCACGTGGGCATTACATAGTAATTCTAGGTGCTCGAGAAGGAACAGGTGGATGCTTCTGCATGGGGGATGACTTCCTTCCCTAAGTTTCCGCATCAGTCGCAAACGCAGCCTCTAGCCCTGGATACTGTTGACCATGCTTGACGAGTTAATCATGATTACTTGATCCTGAAAACTCTTTGTAGCTGGTAGCAGCGGGAGAAGTTGCACATATCTGCCGGCATCCATCCTGCATCCTATGCCCCAAACGTGAAAGCTCTGAAGCCCTAAGCCGTCCCCCGTCTCCTGCGCTGGCGTTGCAGCCACAGCCCTCGGCTCTGACCCTGGTGAGACTTCATCTACAATGCAAGGGTTACACGACCTTCCGAAGTTTAGATGTTAGATATGCATGTGTGATATGTACATATGTGTATATATATATAATATACGTATATATAATATACGTATATAAAACATACGATATATATAATAATCGTAATGACAATGATGATGATGATAATAATATATATATATAATATAATTCTTATACTTATATATATATACATACATACATACTATATATTATATTATATTATAGTATAGTATAGTATATTATATTATGTGATGTTATATTATATTATATTATACTATATTATATTATATTCTAATATGTGTATATATATATGTTGTGTACCAATGTGCTAGATAAAGCAGTGTATACGTCTCTTTCCTTGGTGTGAGGGCTTCTTGACCCTGGGCGAAGACGGCTCTGTCCGTGCCTTGCCAGAATCAACCTTTGGCACCTAGGTGCTTCAAACAGGGGAGAACCCAAGTTCAACCTACACCGGTTCAAGGGTTCCTGTTTTGGGTTCCTACAAGAGCTCCTATGAGGCTTCCTTGCAGAGTCCCTTAGCCCTGGACTGGCAAGGCCCTCGGGGGCCCTTTGTAACTCAGTCTCGCAGACAATCAGAACACACTCAACTGCAGGTGCCTGCCTTTACAAACGAGGCCATGTAGACTTTAAATGGTGCACCCTGGGTCCGCTCAGGTGGACGTTTGAGGTGAAAATTGCCCAAAGCATCCGTCCCTCAGGTTAGGGTCGCAGACTTTTCAGATGAGGGTTCGAGGGAATATGGAGGGGGTTTCGGCTTTATGGCCCCTGCAACGTCCCTAGTTGTCTTATGCTTAAAGAGTGCAGCCCCCAAATTTTATGGGAATTGTTAGGGCTCCGAGATAAGCCGGGCGAACATAGTTCATGCAGAGGCACTTAAACATGGCAAGCAGCAGGAGTGTTGTAGGGTTTTAAAGAAATGAGAACTTGAAAAGCTTCGTTCCGTACATGTCTTTTTGATTGACTTTCTTATTAAGTTATTTCTGTATGCTTATGTTGTACATACTTATGTGTACATGTGTGTATATATGTACATATATATAGACAAATGTACATATTTGTGTAGGGTCTTTACAGGGTTCTATAGCAAGAAGCTCCAACGGCAGAGACTACCCAAACGCAGCCCGCTCCCTCGCTGAAGCCATACTCGGCTTCGAGGAGGGAGACTTTGGGTACTCAGGGCTTTCTGCGGTTTGGGGTTTAGGGTTCAGGGGACTTTAGCCTTAGCCTTGAGGACTTACTTAGATAGCCAATGGAAGAACTTTAAACTCGACTTTATATGTTTGGTTTTTAGGGCCCGGCTATTGAAGAACAGAGCTTAACTGCCGAATCCTGAAGCTATGACTTCGAGGTTGCAGATCAGGGCATCTGCTTGGTGACGGTCCAAAGCCCACCTTAAAACCACTGTAGCCGTCGCAGCCGCCTTTCTTGTAGTGTCCGTCTTCTTTTGAACCTTAGAGGAGAGATACTACAACGTGTCCATTAATGGTGTTTTCTACGGGGTTCAGGGCTTCAGGGTTTCAGGCTTGTGGGAAGTACAAGCTCAAAAGCTTCAGAGCCCAGACAACATCGTCGGCATCAACGCACCGAAGTGGCCCAACTATGAGGCCGTCGCAATCCTGCTTGCGGAGAATGCAATTTTGGAGTTTGAAATTCTACAGGCTTCGGGCTTTGAAGCTCTTTCTTCATTGCCGAGCCTCATCTTCCTTTCTGGGGTTTCGGAACTTTGGTCCCACGGAAGAGCTCCTGCTGCGCTGGGAAGCTCCTGGACTTGGCTTTCCGGTGAAGATTTGGAAGATGTTACTTTCCAAGGCCTCAGCTAGCCCAAGGACCCTCAAGCCTAGGACCTTCAGGCTTTAGCCCTTGGACACCCTCAAAGGGGGCCTAGATAATTACCAATATTATATACTTTGAGGCCCGATCCTTATTTCAAGAAAATCCACCGAAACTCTGTTCTAATCATGAAGGCCCCTCCCTAGATTATGCGCTTATACTGGAAAATGCATCAGGACCCTCCTCTAGTTCTGAAGGCCCCTAAACCCCTAAGCCCCTAAATCCTAAACCCCTAAACCCTAAACCCCCACCCCCTAAATCCTATACCCTATGTATGCTGTATGACGACGGGGTGCTCAGGAGCTCAGGGAAGGCCCCTCGGAGCCCAGAAGCTTCAAAGCCTGGCAGGTCAGCTCAGCGAAGCAGGCGATCGGCCTTCTTCAGCCGCTGCCCAAGATAATGACGACAGCGTGTATATCTGTACGTATGTATACATATATATATATACATACATACATAGACATCTCTCTCTCTCTATCTATCTATCTGTCTATCTATCTCTCTATCTATCTATACACACATTTATATATATATACACACATAGAAATATAGAGAGAGGGAGAGGGCTTCCAGGTTGGCACCCAAACCAATCCGTCACTTTCTGCCCCCCGGCACTTGACAGCCAATACCAAAGCCGCGAGCCCAAAGCTCAATGTTGAAAAGCATGAGACCAGTTTTGATTATTGCTAGCAGTCATGGTCTCAACCTTATGCAATATGCATCTTTCTTGTGCTGTTGCTTGTGTGTGTGTGTGTGAGTGTGTGTGTGTGTGTGTGTGTGTCTGTGTTTGTTTGTGTGCGTGCGCTCTTGCTGCCAAGGTACCATGGCACGTTTGCTTGGAGCTGGTGGGCGCGACCCGCCTTCAGCAAGCACGGGAAGTACTACTAAACTCCTTGTATAAATTGTTGTCGCTTCGCTCCTACTGCTGTCCGGCTGCTGCTACCGCTAAGACTGTTCTGCCAAAAACCTGGCGGCAGGGAAGGGAAGCAAATCATACCTGCGTTTGGTTCTGCTCCTTTGCTCTTGCTGCTGCTTCTCCTGTTATCATTACTACTACTGCTGCTGCTGCTGCTACTACTACTGCTGATGCTGATGCTGCTGTCGCTGCTGCTACTACTACTCCTGCAACTAACTACTGCCAACTAATTAACTACCTACTAGTACTAGTACTA